CCCCCCCCCCTCCTGTCTCTCCTATGTACATGTATATCTTCCTGGTGTAATAATATGAAACGAAAATCCGCCGTAGAACGTGAAATATCATTTTATTTCAATTCGATTTCTCATGCAAAATATGAAGCGTGGCGCTCGAAAAAGTCCATCATACAAAACGCGTATAAATTCTATCTTTCATCCTTCACGTTGCGAAAACACATCGGTAATAACCGCTTTTTCCGCCGCATCAAAAAATGCAAATTCATATTCACTCTGTGACGCGACGGCGATCCACGAGTTCTCGTGTGAAACAACGCGACGGGATATTTTGTTATGCGGAGAAATTTAACCGGGTAAAAATTTAAAGATAGAAAAGGATTCCGCGGGAAACGAATTTCTGTAGAAATAAGTGGCGTCGGAACAAAGCGAAATGGCAAATATTTCAACATTTTCAGTATGTGTCGGGACACATAGGCAATTTAAAGATCGTGAAACAGAATATGTTTAACGAAAGAGTTACGCTAGTATATGCGAGTATGGTTAAGGTAAAGATTGTAAATCAAGTCCCTTCTTGGCATTAAGTCCAAGTAAATAAATATCTATCTCTGTTATTCGTTCTCTTCGCATCATCGTGCAGACAGGCCAAGAAATAACCGTCGTATAATGCGCCGTGCAATAATTCGTGCAAGTAATTCACTTACCGATCGTTGCGCCGTCGTCGTCGTTGCTGCGCCGCCGGTTAAAATCCGCACGTTATCGCCGTCCGTTGATCAAATGCGACGATCGGCCGACCTTCCGCACGCGTGTCATCCCACGTCGTCGTCCCGCAGCGTCACACGAGGTCGACGTTAAATTCCTATCGGAGGACGGGAAACCACGACGAGCGGCGACATCAGCGTGTTTTTTAATGCGCGCCCGGGCTGCTCGAGCTGACGACAAAAAAGGAAAAGGAGGGTTAGCTCCTATTATCAAGATGGCTGTTGCTTACGCTTGCAAAAGAGCGCCATGTTAAGCACGTAAGGCAAATTAACCCGCGGGCTAATTGGGTTAGCCGCCTCCAACCCAGGCACCTCGTGTGTCCCCATCCATCCCCCCGGCTGTCATCCCCACCCCTCTTGCCGGATAGCTTGATGGCGGTGAGCGCGATACGTACATTAATTTCTTTGTTAACCGTTTACCCGCCGCTCAATTTCCCTCTAAAAGCCTCTCGTCGCGGACCGCCGACCACCCGCGCGCGTCTGTTGCTGACAGCGGTTATAATAATAACAGTGACGCTGACGCGGGAAAAGCGGCAGTGCCACAAGTTAATTACGATCGCCGCCACATAGAGAGTTTATCTCGATAAGAACCAGGGCCTGGGCAGGACGGCACATAGACCCTCGGTTCTCTATCTTTCCGTCTCGTTTTTCCCACCGTTCTTACAAAGAATGCGCCATAGTGCCTGAATCGAACGCGAATGTCCTTGTCGTCCCTCCCGGTACGAATCCGACGTCCCCCGTGTTCTGATGAAATTATTCGAGAAATCGCGCTTTAAGTTCGGGTATACACGAGCGTCTGAAGAAAGATACGACCGTGACACAAATGATTATTCCGTATAAACACAGCGCACGACCTGAAAAAGCCGCGGAATGGATGGCTGTTCGGCTTCCATTTTGAATTCCAACCGTCTTAAATACGACGCGGTAAAAACCATGCTTGTACAATGTCGAAAAAAAGCGTGTGTGTACACACGTTTCTCCGCGACGGTTTGTGAATACGGTATAAGGAGGATTTATAAATGACGAACGGCGTTATTATTTCGCATTCTGAGACTGAACCGACTACCGAGTCGACTTCTACGTTCCTCGGCAGCTTTAGCTAGCTCTACGTTTCTTTCTTCTCCGTTAGCACTTCGACATCTCCTGCTTAACCTCTCATTGATCATCGCTGGCCTACCGTTCTCTCGGCGTGCTCACTTATTAAAGGAGAAGATGGCATTATAAGGCCCTCGTATATATTTTGTACAATAACTTTGCTAACAATCAATATTTTTAACTGAAAACTTATCGATTATATTCGTCAAAATGTTGTTTAATCGATTGTAGAAAATTGTGAAATACTCATCACCTAGAACGTTGTCTTAAACAAAACCAATTTTTTAAACCTATTTTCGCGAGGGACTTAAGGGGGACCGTTCCAGTGAACACCAACTAACAGTAACGTAACATCAATATTATAATTTCCCACTCAACAATGTGAATGTAATATAACACGCGTGTTGTGTAACAGTTACATTGTTGAGCGGGAAATTATAACGGGGTGGGGTTCCACTTAACGCTCGCGACGACGCGAGCGTCATTCCATCTTTGTTTAACAACGAGTGAGAAACAGAGATAAAATAACGCTCGCATCGTCGCGAGCGCTAAGTGGAACCTTAACATTGATGTTATGTTACTGTTTAGTCAGTGTTTACTGAGATAATACCTACAAGGGCCATAACACCACCTTCTCTGTGCAAAAAGTGGAACTCAGATAGCGTAACGAAATGAGGCCTCACCTTTTCAGCGTTCGTCCTAAACGACCGCCATTCCGGAATTCGCGCGTTTCGCGGAAGCGTATCGGCGAGAAAAGGTGCCGACGTAAGGATCGCGACGAGAAGGGCGGACGGGGGATGCGAGCGAGCGAACGGAAACCGAAATGGCGTAATAACGGCGCCCGGCATCGTTCATCTTCCTCGTTGACTAGCCGGTTGCGTCGCGACGCCGGTCGACGGCGAATGTGCAACCGCGATAATGGCCGACACTAAATTAACGTACGACGGTGTTGCATGTGTGCGACCTGACGAGGCCGACCGTGTACACTGCGAGCTCCTCGGCCACTTCGCTCGCCGGTCCGTGTTGTTATTGTTGTCACGCCGATTAACCGATAATCCGCGGCTTGTGTTTCGTAAAAACACTCTGTACGCGACACGTCGCGACAAGTCCCGACGAGTTCGAAAGTTCGACTAATGGCAACGGTCGCCGGGACTGCCTTGAACTTCGCGTTTAAACTTGTGGCTTCTCAGCCAATCAGGTGGCTCCTAACTTTTAGAGACATTTTTATCGATAGAAAAAAAGTGTTCAGAATATGCACCGTTGGCTCTCGGAGGGCCGTTTCAAATGTTAACTTACGCATGTAAACACTGTTTCATGTAAGAAATGTAACGCGTATATATTTGTCGTTTAAATATAACACATTTTCAATTGTACGCAACAAAGCCACATTACTTCGTCTATTGTAAATAATGCTGTCCGCTGATGCATTGTGGTACGTCTTTCAACGATGTGAACTGTTTCCTCCATCTTCACTGTGTGTGTATGTGTGCATGTGAATTGCGCGCTTTTTCTACCAAGTGGCGCACCCTGCCGTGTAATTCTCGCTCTAAGTGAGTCTAAAATTCTGCAGATAATGCAGACTTTTGGAATGTGAGATTTAAAATTCCACGCTTTCGATTAGAATTAGCCTAAAATTATGTTTAAACGTTTGTACAGATTTTGGTTAAATATATATTTATAAGAATTAAGTAGCTAAAAATAGGCGTTACGAGAAGGAACTACATGTCTCTCTCGACAGTCAACTAGTATTCGATAACAATTAATTAAAATGGGAATCATACATGTTTCCCCAGCAGCTATATATTTATATATGTACCAATATAAAAATGTAATATTATCAAATAATAACATTCTTTCATTCGCTTTACTTACCTTCTTTTTCTGCTTTCTATTCGTTTCTCTTATTCCCTCCAAGGTCTGAATATACACCTTCCCGATTTTAAATGCAAAAGACACAATTGAGAAGAGTAGATTCTGTGAACACACATATCGTTATCGACAATCCGATTGGTCACGCTTCGATATAAAAGCAGCATAAGGTTGCGCACTTGTTCCCGAACTATGTTCACTCTTATAATCCACGTCGGATATCTCACATCTCTCTCATCGTGCCACACGTCAGCACCTGTGCGCCATCTGTTCTCCTTCTTCGCGTATTTGTTATGTGATGTGGAGAGTGGATCGTTTCATGTGAAAAAAATTATCTTTCGATTAATCGCAGGACACACGGCGTTTCGGGATCGCTCGTCAGAATGGTAAGTGGCCCTTTCTTCGTTCGCGCTCGGCAACTGTTAAAATGCTCGCGTACCGCGAGGGAATCTGCGAATATTCACGATTTCGCGACACTGTTGTGTCATTTAACAACGCCAGCAGGTCTCCAGCCGCCTTTCCCATAAGTATCCGCGGTCCAGCGTACTCAAAACGTCCGCTTCCTTTTTCCAGGTACTCATCGCCGCTGCGGTATGCACCAAAGCAGGAAAGAGTAAGTAACGAATTATCGCCGGCGTGTTGCTCTCGCGTCTCTCTCTATCTGTCTCTTTTCAACGGTTTCCTTCGACTCTCTGTGTGAATTAATTTACACGATATGTCACGTTGTTCCACTTTGAAATCTAGCTCGGTCCTAGAAAAATGAACGTTATGCCAGTGCGTGTGGCCAGCTGCAAAAATGTAGCAACACTTTTCGATGAATCTCGCAACATGTCTCATATTCAATAAGGAATCGCATCTCCTGAGAATTACTGAGAGACAAGTTTTTCCTACTGGACACGGGATGCTTATCAAAACTCATCAGAAAAAGTGCCGCAACCTTTTTGTAGCTGATTGTATTATTTTTTTTTTACTTTTATTTAATTTATTGACAAAATAGATATCTGAGCAAAATATTACAATTGATAATTAAGTTTGTATTACTTTTCCAGCCATCATCTCTCGACAGTTTGTCGACATGACAAAGGCAAGAATAGAAGGCCTACTTGCTGCGTTTCCGAAGTTGATGAGCTCGGGTAAGCAGCATACATTTGTGGAGACTGAATCTGTCAGATATGTGTATCAGCCTCTTGAAAAAGTATACATGCTGCTCATCACCACTAAGGCCAGCAATATTTTGGAGGACTTGGAAACCTTGAGGCTCTTCGCAAGAGTGGTGAGTGAATTCCATTTGTCTTATTGTTCTCCAGCTGCTTTGAGAAATTCTTGTCATGTATATAAAGTACAAAAAAAATGGTGCTTAATTTTTTCAGCTCCCTGAATATTGCAACTCGATGGACGAACTTGAAATAGCAGAGAACGCGTTCAATTTGATATTCGCATTTGACGAGATAATCACATTGGGCTACAGGGAGAGCGTTAATTTGGCACAAATCAGGACCTTTGTGGAAATGGACTCGCACGAAGAGAAAGTTTATCAAGCGGTCAGGATGACGCAGGAACGCGAAGCTAAGAATAAAATGCGCGAAAAGGCCAAGGAATTGCAGAGACAACGAATGGAGGCTAACAAAAAGAGCGTCAAAAGTCCCGGATTTGGCGGAGGATACGGAAGCGGCGGCGTGCCGACCGCCGCGACTGTTGGTGATTCAGCTAACTTTGTGCCTGAGCCGATTAGACCTTCCTACAAGCCCAAGCAGTATGATCAATTTCAAACTCGATTACGTAATTGGCTGTGGTTATGCAAGAAAGATCCAACCCGCAAAATTATGATTTTTGAGATTCTGTTACCAACGGGTAGTTTATACGCCTTTCTACATAAAACAAAAAGATCCAAGCTTTATGGACGTCTAAAATTAATTAAAGACACTTTTCATTTTCTACTAGTTGTACCATTTTTTTACTAGTTGCCTTTATTTTTAAAGATTACGCTTGTCAATGAATATCTTTAAAGAAATGGACTATGCTTAAGCTCTGGTCCACAATTTTGCTTTAAGTAATAAATCGTAAGAAATTGACCAGTCACGGTGAAATGTGAGAAGAGTAGTCGGTTGTGATTGGTCAGTTTCTTATGACTTACAATTAGAAGATTGTAGACCAGAGCTAACTTCTTGAATGAACCTTAATGCTACTTATACTTTTTAAATCACGTATCCAATTTTCACCTTCATTATTTTCGAAACGTACTCTACGTGGGTTGGATCTTCCTTGCCAAATACTTTACTTAACACTTAACCCTCTTCATCAGGAAACCATCGGTCAACGCTGGACCAGGTGCCATGAAATTGGGCGGCAAATCTCGTGACGTGGACTCCTTCGTTGATCAATTGAAGGAAGAGGGGGAAATCATTATATCAGGAGTCATTAATGCTCCTGGAGCCAAACTGGCGCCGATCACGCCTCAGATAATGAACACAGAATTGTACGTGATGAGAGATACGTGAAGAAATCGAGACTCATTCGTTTGTTACATCATCACCAAATGCATTTTCGTCAACAGGGTTCACCTGAGACAAGAGGAAAGACTCAACGTGCGTGTCGGTCGGGATGGAGGTTTGCAACATTTCGAGTTACACGGCCTGGTAACGTTACATATCTCCGACGAGAAATGGGGACGTATCCGCGTGCAGCTTGAAAACAGGGATACGAGAGGCATTCAGTTGCAAACCCATCCGAATGTAGACAAGGAATTGTTCAGAACGCGTGGGCAAATTGGTTTGAAAGTGCCTACGAAACCATTCCCGTTGAACACCGACGTCGGCGTCCTGAAGTGGCGTTTGCAGGCACAAGATGAAACAGCATTGCCGATTTCGAGTGAGTTCGATATCCTCCCTTGCTCAAGTCTTGCAAAATTCTGTTAGGATTCTCTAATTCTTTACGTAACTCAACGCAGTAAACTGCTGGCCTTCCGAGAACGGAGAGGGCGGCTGCGACGTGAATATCGAGTACGAGTTGGAACAAGCCGATCTTGAGTTAAATGACGTCCAGATAAATATTCCTCTGCCTATGGGATGCAATCCTATCGTCGGTGAATGCGATGGGCAATATGTACATGAAGCACGACGAAACATGTTAGTCTGGTCCCTACCGTTGATCGACGCTTCCACAAAATCTGGCTCGATGGAATTCTCGGCTCCCTCCTCGAACCCTGCGGACTTTTTCCCACTTCACGTTTCTTTTTCATCTAAAACCCCGTATGCCAAAATTAAGGTACGGAAATGCACGACTAGGCGTGCGAGCTGTACAAAGTTACACAATATGAAACAAGGTAAAAGTGACACAACTATATCGTTCTAATTCTTCTTTTTCAGGTTAGCGAAGTTTTGCTTGTAGAAGACGAGAGCCCTGTTAAGCATTCAGTAGAAACCGTGTTCTTTACTGATAATTATGAGGTCGTATAAGATACAGCGAATGATAGATGAAGTATTTGAATACATAAAAATGTCAAAAGAAAGAGAGAGAGAGAAGAAGATGCCCATTTTTTTTTTTAACAGGAGGTTAAATATATATGCGATCAGTGATGGAAATTGATTATCGTTTAATTTTCTAATTTTATTGCCATACAATCATTCCTCTTATATGATCAATGAAGATATGTTTGTTGGTACGCGTCGTGCGGTATTTATGTACTGTATCGATTTATTGCGGATAATGATTAGCTATATCTGATGCCGAATACTTATATAAGTTTGTATAAAAACAAGAGAATTATATTTTAATTAGAAAAATTGGAAACTATATCATGCATTGTAAGCCAAATTTTGTCGTTTTTACTTTTTATTCAGTATGTATTATTCAGCATATCTTAGCGAGAAATAGCATACGCAATTGGACAGAAAAAATTGTATTATTACCAAATATATATATATAAAATTTTGTTATTCGTTTCGTAAGTCAATACACCTTACCTAATAAAAATTATCTTACGCAATGTGTTGCTACTTTATTCTTTTTTTTCTTTTATTGTAACATTTGTTAAAAATATGTCTTCATGTATATAATGTCTTTTTACAGTTAAAATGTCCGTACACAGATATGTAGCGGAGCGTTTTTATTTACACTTTGCAGAAAGCGAAATATGTATATGTATGTACAGATGTTAAATCATTGCATTTCTTCCGTCGACATACTTATAATTTGCGGTATCAAATAATTCTCAATAACTGCTTTAGCTGCAAATGAAGTAAAAAGATGTTAAAACCTACAAATTGATTTTAGCCTTTCGAAGAAACAGCTCTCGCTTACCGTTCATTGAGTGATTCATTATTGCTGCTTTATAAGCAGTTATGTTTGAAGAGTTACTGAGTGTTACATCTGCACCTTTTGTTAACAATTCATGACACACATGCGGATGGTCACAATATGCCCCATATATCAATGGTGTATTGCCATCCTAGAACAGAAACAATCATTATACATATCATACACCAAATTTTTACTCAGAAGGAAGCAAGACTGGATAGTAACTTGCTAATTCAGTTGAAAAGTTATTAACTTTTAACTCAACTTAGTTACAATGTTTCACATATAGCTTTGCATAATTAACTTTTAACTTTAACAAAAACCAATATCATTTTAACTTAACTCTTAATTGAGTTAATATTTTATTCATTTATGTAACTTTTAACGTGAACACGGTTAGCTTATAGCGATCAATTTTTAACATGTCTTTAAAGAAAATTAACTTCCCAATCCGGGAGAAAAGTAACACATACCTCATCACATGCATTTGGATCAGCACCATTATTCAACAATAACTTAACAAGATCGTGGTGACCATATGCAGCTGCTAAATGTAGAGTTGTCTCTGATTTTGGCCCACGATAATTTACATCGGCGCCCCATTTGAGTAATTGCCTGGCACTGCCTAACTGTCCGTAACCAGCAGCCCACATCAGTCCTGTCAATCCTTTCTCATCGGTTGCATCTATTGAATCTGTAAAACAAGGATAACAGCATGGTAATCACTTTACATAATGTATAGAATTATAGGAATTCATTCCTGTAATTCTCAACATTGTTTCTCACATCTACGTGACTTACTTGACTGCATATGTTCAGGCGTAAGTTCACCTTGACCTGCCAAGGTATGAAAGGTGATGTCATTCCCCACGTAGAGCTGAGGTATTTGGGTTTGAGTATTGCCCCTTTGCAAATTTGTGAGTAAGGTTGGTGGCTAAAAAAATACAGGAAAAATAGATACGTCAGATAAGATGAATATTTCATTTTGAGCAAATAGCTGAAACATCACACTCCTGTATTGCAATAGGAAACATTTGTATATGAATCTTGGGGAGTTGAGTCAAAAGAAATACACCTTGTAAGGCTGAAACGCACTAGTCCTAGTCGCGTCTTGCCACGCTCCTGGGGCCCAATGCCACTTCGTCTCGATCGGCTCCGATTTGCAGCCGATGCTCACATTCTCCGGTTTGCGAATCACAGGTTTCGGTCGTATTCCAATGGCCGAAGCGTCGGGTGTAATGCTTTTGCCGCTTTCGCTGGAGCGACGACCCTCCTTTACACCCTCGTTCTCCTCTTCTTTCATAATCAGCTCCGAGAGAATCTGATCATCCATACCTGTCAAATGCACAGATATCGGTGCATATAAAATGTACACGTCGCCCGGAGATACATCAAACTGTCTAATTTAGCGTTACGATGCCCATTTCATTCATTACGTCGACGGTAAGAGCAAAGATCCGGTCTTCTTGTCAAATTGCGTGAAACAAAACATGAGTCATATTGGAGGTTAGGAATTTCGGTCCGGCCGTTGTTGCTGACGAAGTGCGTCCAATTTTCTGACAAGTAGTGCCACTCGGAAAAGTAAGGATACGGTTGATCTGCCGTCGAGTCATACCACAAGCACTTCTTATTAGTTCCAAATTATCCGCTACGAGCCGCCACTATTCTTTTCGGAAATATACCAACCAGTATTTCCATCCAGCGAGCAATCCAGCACGAAAACAAGCACCGTCACGAATCATCTTCTTTAACGTGAATTCGTAAAAAGTGTAAATTTTCTAATTTGAAAGTATTTCAAGTTTCCACCCTAGGGGAAAAGTTACATGACCGATACCTCGTAGTATGACTCAGCGACAAGTCAGACGGATCTTGAATTTGCGAGTAACGTGATTCAATGGTGAGTCGGAAAACGTTGCACATTTAGTTAATATGATTTCACGACAGATCAGAGGATCTCCGTTTTTAATTAGATTGACATATATTTTTTAACACTATGACTCAAATAGCACGTGTGCATTCCTCGACATTCCAATGTCTATTTCCGCTACACAAATAAAAAAGTTAACACGTAAAATGCGTTACAAGAACAACAAACTTGTGCGTTTCAGACTCAGAGTTATTTATTAACACAGTGTGCTTACAGCATTTATTAGACTAACGAGGGAGGAATTTACTAATAATTTGGCATTGGGAAATGATCGCCTCTTAATAATTACACGTGTACGCACTTCCTCATCAAGTCGGAAAGCAAGTCAAATTATGCTGCGATGTGTTCATCGGGTGTCAGGTTTCGAAGATCGCGTCAATTTAATGCAATTTCTTTCGTCTTTTTATATACTGTGTTAGTGCTTCAAGTTCACGTTTTAATTGCGCATTGTTGATCTCAATAATTTAATGACGACAACATTTCTCGAACGGCAAATGATGCAAGCGAAAATACTCGCGCACGACGTTTCTCCGCCGTTTGACAAAATGGTTTTTTTTTTTTAATTCGTACAAGCGACTCGTACATGTCTCGTGATCAAATTTGGACTTCTCCTAATCAGTCTTTTTTAATCTCGCGAGATTATCACAGAATTCGAATGGTTAATCGTCAAACAAGCTGTTTAGTTGCAGAAATTAACGCGATCTTTCTTACACAACTTAGCATATTTGGTGTTAACGCTGCGTCCAAGTCGGTCGTGTATGCCTGTGTGTTTGTATGTATATATTTGTACAGCCGAAATTTAAAAAGTTTCTCATTCTTGCGGATTAATTCGTCCGTGTCCTCTTTTTCTTCGCACATGAGCGTATTGTATACATTATACCGATGAGAAAGACTAGAATTAGATAGTGGTGTGATTTGTAGCTTGTAAATATGAAAAAATTTCGTAACAGGCACGTAAAGCGTGAAAAACGTCCCTCCGCGATTTATCTCTCGTTTTCCCTTTCCTTCGTAAACGAAACGGTATTGTCAACAAGCCACCGAATACGTATCGTCCGCCCCGACAATTTTAACAATCACGTTCTTTCGTGAATTCGTTCCCTTCGGTTTTCCCTTCGTCTTTCTCTTTTATCAGAGTTATAAATAGTACAGAGTGTTCAACATTCGATCGATTACAACGTTAAAAAGTGCATCATTAGTATTACGAGTCGTCGTTCGTATCAAGAGTCGAATTGATAACGATATTAGTAAACGTGGTAAGCACAGAAGTTAGAACGTAGTCGATCATGCAATGGTGTATAAAAAGTTTTGTTAGCGCAACGTACCTATGTCTCTAACAACGTTCGATATTTCCACTTTATCTAATCTCTGTCGCTCGCAGGTAGACTCTCAATCGCGAAATTCCGACGCGTTTGCCGTTACAAACGAGAACGATTTTCTTTGATTGAATTACGGCTGGAATGTTTTCGATCGACCGCAACACGCCCGTACACCTTGTCGATATGGATCTTAACTATAGAGTAACCCTTAATTTAACGGTACCTTGTCCCGCGAGAAATTTTCAAAAAGGTCGCATTTATAGTTCTTCTTTTGAATCAAATTTTGATCGCATACGCGTGCTGCAAATTTTATGCATGTATGTTTTATGAGATACGACGTTAAATTGAGGGTTAACGTTAATTACAGACTGCTTATTGCTGGCTGAAAACCTACGGTCGATCGAAAGCATCCTCCTTTTCTGTATATTACGGAAATCCTTTGGTCTCTCTCTCTCTCTCTCTCTCTCTCTCTCTCTCTCTCTTTTTCTCTCTTGTGGGAAAACGTATGTTAAGACTCACAATACTTTATAATAAACAAAAAAAATGAAGGGACAGCGCACAGAATACATATAAGGGTAAAACTTAAAATAAATATATTAAACACTCCTCCTACATATATCGGTGCGTTACTTCTCAACGGGAGATTATCGTTAAATTAACAAACGCCATTGCTTGTTTACAGCTGGCTGATGTTGCGATCAGCACTTATGTACACGGATTACCCGTCAGTTCGTCGTACAATTCCACTTTGCTCTTGGAAAAACTCCCGACCTTTCTTCTCTCTTTTCTACGTACGTAAAGATCTCGTTTGTTCGTTTCTCGGTCGTGCGACAGGTTTTATCGTGGCAGTATATAAGGCATGCGCGTTCTTCTTTGTTTCATTTGTATATGTGTGTGTGTGTATGTATATATATATTTTTTTTTGGTTTTAATTTCTTGTTGATCTTCTTTCGCGTTGTGTCTTCTTATAGCTTATACGCGTTATACTCTTGCGACGCTACTTACGACGTTTACGATCTACAAATCGTCCGCTCACCGCCGCCGAACGAGAAACGAATTAAACGCTGGATATATTTATAACATGCCGGTTTCCCCTTAGCGAAAATTCGAACAACTTTGAGTCAAAATTTCAACATACAATAAGCAAAAACTACTCTCGTGAGTGATTATCAAGTAGGTCGCTATAATGACAAACACGATTTATACGTTAAGTCTTATCTCATTGCTACACTCAAACTTCACGTTTTTTTTTGTTTCTTCCAATGATAAAAATCGTTAGACATCAACATGCACCTAACATCAATAGAGATTGCTTATCGTTTTTTTTTTCCTTCCTTACGCTAACTTTCTTTTGTTACACGTGATAACTCGTTCGGGATATTATTACGTCTACTATTTACAGTTAACTCGAAATCCGATAATCGTGATAATACTTGAGACTGATAGCGACGCCAAGCCTATCGGCTTCATCCTCGATAAAATATTCTCCGATAAAGTGTGACTTATATGATTTCCTCTCTCTCTCTCTCTCTCTCTCTCTCTTTCTTTCTCTCTCTTTTCAATTAGGTTTCTGTTATACTCACTAACGCCCAACTATAATGCAGAACTAAGAGCGAAGGTGTAATAATAATTATCTACACACAATTCTATCGTTGAAACCACGCGGTCTGCTAAATTATAAATACAGTATGAAAAATGTCTCCATTAGTTTCCTCTTCTCAGATGAATAAATACTATACACGTTTCTGAGGGTGAAGGGTGGGAAGGGAGAGGAGAAGGAGGGGGGGTAAGAGAATGGGCGGGGATGGGTAAAAACTTTTTCTTCTTCTGTTTTAAATACGCCAGTTGATATCTCGATTGGATCCTGCCCAATCCGCGATTCGCAAATTCGCAAATCCGTTAAGGACTTAGCTTTATCCGCGGCTTTTTAGCTGTCGTTCTTCTTTAGCGCGCTTCGTGATGTACGTATAAAACGACACTAAATTCTATTACGCACGCTAATAGAAGTTCAAGGCAGTCTCGCTGCTTGTGTATTATGCTCGCGTTCTCGTCTCCTTTTCTCGTCAAAGTTCGAGGGAAAATCGCACGATGAATGGCGAAGAATGACACCTATAAATTTCATCATAATACGAATAGATCGGAGTGAGAATGATTATTGCTATTTAGAATTGTCGTCGCCGTAGCGTTAGTCAAGAAACGCCGGTCTCTCTCTCTCTCTCTCTCACACACACACACACACACGCGCGCGTCGTTCGAGCACACGAAGCGCACTAGAGGAAAAAATCGGGTGTACAAAGGTGAGATTGAGGTACCTTATTTACGACTTGGAAGAGTAACATTATACTTCCGTGGTGCGACTGTAAGGACCGGACTCTTCAGATTGCGATAGCTTTCGCTCACGTTTGGCAAAGAGACCCCCTAAAAAAGACGGCTGCTGAGCCAGTCCCTTACCACCGCCAGGGATCGTAGCCCCTGGATGAATAGGATGAACTTGCCCGGGGTGCTTAATGCCTTGGCTCATTGAGCTGGCAGAAGTAGATTGAAAGGAAATAGACATACCGCTATCTAGAGAACCCACGCTTCCACGGCGCTGCGGCTTTTCACCGGCAACTAAAGATACACATATTTATGTCATATCAATATAACTCACACTCCCAAACCCCCACATACCGTATAAACTGTATAAAGGAACTTCGTATTCGCAGGAGGAGGTTGGCCGAAATAGCGAAATAAAAAATACAGAAAAATTAATTATACACAACGGTCGTCTCTTTATATACAATCATAAAAAAATCATCATAGTTGTACATTGCGGTAAAATAATAAAATCTGAAAAATAAAAACAAGGCATTCTTTTTGTTCACACCCACGTATTCGGGATGTACATTTTCGAGGCGCCCGTCTTGAAAACCGTAATTCCTGCAAATACGGATCTGTCCCCGCATGATTTACGCGGTGTGTACTTACACTGCTCGTGTATGTCCAGAAGAGAATTACTGAGGGCGGAGCGTTTCAATTGCGTGTCGACATCGACCGTCTCCGCTCTCTCCGAACAAGTTCCCGGGCATGGGCATATCTCCACGTCGGCGACGCCGGAATCCCGGTTCTCCGCACCGCCTCGTGCACCTCTGCTGCTCTTTTGCCTCTCCAGCTCGGTCTCGATGCGCAGAGTCTCCATCTCATCCATCTCGCTGATAGACTCCCTGAGGTCTTCCACGAATTTACATCGGTCGTGCTCGTTTCGTGCGTTAAATGTGACTAGAACCTTTCCATCGACGCGCTGAGAGAGTCTTATCCCGTACGGATAATCTAAAATGAAAGAACGTGGCGGTAAAAGAAATCAGCCAAATCGGATCAATACTGAGAAACGGTCTCGCGCACGTAGATATCTCATTGTGAAGACTTACGAGGAACCTCGAATAACGTAACTATCATGCCGCAGAGCGGGAAGCTCTGCCTGAAGGTGTAGGTTACGCTGTTCTTCTTCTTGCTCAGGATCTTGGTGACGACAAGCAGATCGTTGAAGAGGAAAACCTCCCTTTGATGAACGCCCGGTCTCTCCTTCTTGTGAATGTCCGGTATCTCGTAGAGCCTGCAGTAGCAGACCAATCTTCTATGCGGTAGCGCCATGTTTGGCTTCTTTCCAACAATGGTGGCTTGGACCTTCATCACTTGTGACACATGGTCGGAGCCCGGCTTGAATTCATTATCCTTCACCCTCTCGTAAATGCCGACCAGGATGTCTCTGTCTATGTCGCCGCAATCGTCGATGCCCCGGAGATTCTTCACGAAATCCTCGAGCCTCATTCTGCGCTCGGGCTTCAGGTTCGGCGTGTGCAAATCCGTGTTAAGCATGATAATGGCGAAGGCCAGGACGAAAACAGTGTCCGGCGAGCGCAGCCTCGATATCACGTCGGGATTGCATTGACAGTAACGCTGACTGAAGACCTCCATCAGCCGCTCGATCTTTTGCGCCTCGCCGGGCATTCTGAAGTAGGCTTGAAACTTTCGCAAAGCGACGTCCACTTGCATCCCGGAGAGATCCAACTCGTGAGAGAAACATCTGCGGGTTACGAGCAAAAGAGTCAATTGATGGTAACGATATGGTCTCCACGATATACAGGGTGTCCCTGAATAACCGTATGCGAGGTGCACCGGGAGATTCTTGGTAGCAGACGACGCGATTTTTCGCTTACTAATATTCCGTTCATATGATAACTTTTAAGTGACAGCTATTTAACCCCTTGACATACAAATAAAACGGGATTTGATGCGTCCGGAAAAATACGATTTAATTATGCTCAATGAACAGTTACGTGCAAGCTTGTGAAACAATTGAATAATCACAAGTGAAATAATTGAATAATCTAACAATATACTGCACGGCGTCACCGGAGACGGTTCTTGACGTCTCGGAGACGTCAAAGTCTACAATGGTACATGAAATGAATGACGTCTCCCAGACGTCATTTTATGTCAAGGGGTTAAAGTTATTCTAACGAGCCTATCGATTCGCTTCACTTTCGTTATTGATTTATTTATCCCCGTGCAAAGGTGAATAATTCAAGGTATCAATAATGAGCCACTCACTCGAGTACCGCCATGTTGAAGGTGTTCTGCAAATTCCCGAGATACTCCCCTATCATCTGCTTGGACAAGCCCTTACGGCTGATCAAGAATCGCGCGACTCCCTGCGGGCTGTTCTCCAGAAATCCGCGTCTGATGAGGTAGCTGATGCCCCTCTCCGGCTTTTTGTTGAAGAGATTTAGGCCGACCCTGTACTGCCGCTTTCTCACAGTCTCGGAGACCTTGTAGCTGGTCTGCGGCAGACTCTCCGTGTGGTCCATCAAGGGAAGCTGGTAGCCGGAGCTGGCGTGCGAGTGGCCGAGCTCCTTCACGTTGCTGGCGATCGTCGCCGCGTCCGCGGTATGACTCGCACATTCCTGATGCTCCGGCGAACTCGACTGGGGTTTCGCAATCAGAACGGTTATTCCGTTAGCGCGCTTTATCTCTCCTTCGCGAAATCGCCGTTATAACTCCCTGTGACGCGAGGAAGAAGAAAGTCGAGTGTACACTTACGATCCCCTTGTGCTTCCAGACCGGAGACCCTCGCTGAGGGTCGCCTTCGGAGCTCTCGCAGTTGGTGGAGTCGCTGCCCGAGCTCTGCACAGAGCTCAGGCTGCCGTTCTCCACGCTCTTGCTGAGACCGTTGTGACGCGGCTCCATGGATCTCGAGGTGATGGAGGACGTTCTCTTCGGCACCTCGGGCGGGATCTTCTTGCCGGAGCCTCTTGTCCTGCCTGGGCCGAGCTGGCTGGCATTGTTCCAGTTCTGCGATATCGTCGTCTGCAGGTTGTGCGGCGTCGACGGCGACGTGCACGGCGTCCGCAGCAGGTCTCTCGGCGGTGTTTCTTGCCGCAGACCGCACAGCGCCTCCTGTGTGCGTGTACAAGCGGTTGCGAATCTCTTTCTCTCTCTTCGTCCAGTCGGAATGAATGAAATGCGAGGTACGCACGTCGCTCGCGTCCGGCTCGGGGAGCGATCCGAACGCTATCCCCTCTGCCGTTTAACGTCATTACCGCGCTTAACGACACTCACCTGTGGATTGTAGTAATGGATACTGGAGCCGCTCTCCTGGGAGCTCGACTCCCAGCAGGGACTCGGCGGTAATTGCTGGTGTCTGTTGCACGGGCTGGGCGCCAATGAGGGCGTATGTCTGCCGCTCTGGTGCAGGCTGTGATTCGCCGCCGGATGGCCGCTTACTTGGATCTCGCATCTGCCGCTCTGGCTCCTCGGTATCGGCGACTGGGAGCTGTCCACGTGCCGCCTCTCCCTCAGAGACATGCTTCGGATCGGCATCGGTCTATTAGATTCGCAGCCAGTTTTAGCGCGCGACTTGCGATTCACGATACACGACGTGGCGAAGTATAAATTCGCTCGTGAAAAGGTTGCGGCGCTCCTTCTTTTTTTAATAAGTTTCAGAATAAGATTTTAGAAATTATATTCGAATAATGAAACTTTGGAGAGAACGTCCATGTACATTTACAAGTCTAACGACCGCTCAGGAAAAGAATGATTAAAGCGACCCATTTTGGACTACAGTGAAGTTTCCAGTGACTCGCCAAGAAAAAGTAACGAAAAGTGGCTTAACACGTTAACTGCCACGCGCATTTCGAAGGAAATCTCCGTCAGGCCAAATCCATTAAAATTTCTTGATAAGAAATATTTAAGTATATTAATTATACGATCCTAAATTACTTATTAAACTATGTAATTTTTTTAGTTTTCTATCGTACTTTATACCGTCAGTCACCGGTGACTGACGTGGCACTCAGCGTGTTAAGTAACTGAATGGCAGCGTTGACACGTCGAACAATATCAGCCCTATTTTGAAACATATTCCATGTCCAACGGGAAAATTTCTTTTTCAATATTTCTCTCGGGAGTGATACATTCGTTCTATTTTCGACAAGAGATGCGAAATTCATCGAAAAAGAAGTATCACAGCTTTTTCGCGACTGACCGCACATACAACCACGCGGGGGGACACGCGTCTTGTGCAAGTAGCCTTTGTTGTTACCTGTTAGCAGACTGCGGCTGCTGTATGTATATCTGGCTGTGATAGACCATTCGCTCGTGATCGTTGAGGTTGCCCGAGCGCTCCGTCACCTCCTGGAGCTTCCTGCTCAGCCGCTTCTCCGCCTTGGCCATCGCCGTGATCGCCGCGAACTTCTTCAGCAGGGTATACCTCCGGAAGGCGCGCTGGATCGTCAACGCCGCGTTCCTCGCCTTCACGCCACCGTACTTCCGCTCCAGCATCTCGATCTGCTTGTCGAGCAGATCCTGCGACAACTCGTACCTGTCGAAAACGAGAGGAGCGCAACTTGTAACCTCCTTCTCCCTCTGCGGAAACTGACAATACGCAGGGTGTAGGATTACGACTCACGCGGTCTGCAGCCGGCATCTCTTCAGCACGTCGCCGTTGCGAACCGATCCCTTCTTAAGGTGATTCTGCTGATAGCCGGCGGCTGACTGCGGTTGCCCGCCGAAGCCCTGCACCATAGTGCCGTAACTCTGCGGCTGCGAGTAGGCCGTGCTGTGCGGATAGACCTGCACGCTCGCGCTGGGATACGGCCCGTGCGACGCGTAATTCTGGCCCTGCATGTAAGACTGGCCGGTGATGTAGGACGTCGACAGGGATGTTTGACTGCCGGACGAGTACGCGCCGTGCATGCTGTTGCCGTGGACCTGGCTCGTGCCGTGCGACGCCATCGGTCTCTCCACCTTCGGCGGGAAGCTGAAAGCGAAAAATCACATCAGTCAACCGACTGTCCGAAGTGACAACAACCCGCGGAATATCAAGTTCCCGAACTCTCTTCTTACTGTTTCCCGTCAATTACATCTGAGTATCTAGAATTTTTGCACACGTAACCACACGCACAGAGTGGTCCACTTAATCTGAACATCTTAAATATTTCACTTGTTTTTTATGACAGATATGTCTAAGGAAACAGTTGTACCTTGTTTGAAGAGGCAATTATGAGTTTTTTTTTTTTCTTTTCAAGGACATTTTTTCAGAGATTTAAAAGTCAAGATAATTTTTTTTAAATAGAAGCACGTGTTTTTTTCTTTTTTGAGCGATTTTATAGCCAATATCGAGAGAAGTCCAGCGATTTATGACAACATGACCTTTAAATCATCTATAGTTCTTTTTGAAAAAATGATCCCGACTTTCGAATCTGTGAAAAAGCGACCTCGAAAAAACTTCTTTCGTCATCATAATCGCCCATTCGAACGGTGCAGCATTTCCTTAGATATTTTCTCGTATTACCAAGAACAGATGGAATATTTCAGATTTAAGATTAGACCACACACTCCGCATATTATATATTATTATCACATGTTAATTTCCCATTCACCAATGTAACATACAACGCATGCTGTATCGCACTTACATTGTTGAGTGAGAAATGATAACATCGACGTGATGTTACCGTTAGTTACTGCTTACCGAGTATCTACATGTTTAATTACACATGCGTATATTACAATCACGCGTACGCATATCTCTAATTTCCGAAAAATATTTTCAGACGTCGGGGAAGAATACTCATCCCCGGCGCATCGTATCGTGAATCTAGGAAAATTTAATTGGACAAACACACTCGGCCGTTATGCGTAGAGCGCAAAGCGGCAGAGTCGACGGGACCGCAAGCAGATAATTGAAATCAAGCGACGCGACGTTCTGTTCACGGCGGCGACGGCCGATTTCACGCCAGGTGTTACTAATTATATATCGAACGGACGGCCTGTGACGGACGCGCAACCGACGGGATCGCAAAAGCAAGAAGCACGCACCCCCTGAAATGGGAAACGCAGATGATCATGTTGCTTCCGTCGAGGCTGCAACGTCGAGCGACTCGGACGATTTTCCACGTGTATCAGATTGCCGCGATCTATCTTCGTCTACGATGCCAATGATGTCGGTCGCGGAGGGCGGACGTCCTCGATGAGCGGTTTGCGCGTGATTACGTGGAAATCGTCTTGTAACGCGAACGAACGAGTCGTTTTCGAGATACGTGTCGACCGACCGACTCGAGCACCGAGGACGAACTGGAGGAGGAGAAAGAGAGCAGCTGGCTGGTATCCTCCGAGCCGACCACCGGGACGAGAAATCCCTGGAACGATCGAGGGGCACGAGTACCCCCGGATGCACAAAGGCGGGTACTGTGTGCCTGTATATCCGATATACCTGAACCGTGTGCATCTGGCAGGTGCGCGATGGTCTTAACGACGAGGAGGACGGCGACGACGACGACGGTACTTGACCGTGACACTCAACCTTCCGCTGCATCGGCGAGACTACTTACGCAATACGCATCAATTAAGCCGGCTTACGTAAGGATCCAGCATAACCGCGGATAAAGCATATGAACGCGCATATGACAAATAAAACCGTGACCGCGGCGGAGAGGCGTGTCTCCGACAGACGGAAGAGAATCTCCTTCGTACGTTCCTCGGGCTCTCGAGTGTCGTGCGATCGAGGATTTCTCTGTCGGACGAACGAAATATACGGAGGGATCTCGTGCGAGAAAGCACAATGACGAAGCGTTCGTGTAAAGCGGAATCGAGACACGACAACAAACCGCGCCGCTAACAGTATATACAGAAAAAAAATGGAACCGAGTAAACGTAATTGCCTGCTTTTTCAGCCTCTCAAATCGAGTGGTGTTTTTGTCAATTTAAGTATATTTTAATAGCTCGTGGTAAATACTCGAGCGTGCAGCAATTCCTTTATTTGTAAATGAATTGCTGCAAGTGTAAGATGGTTTTAAATTTAGGGGAATATCTAGAATTATGCAATACTTCTTTCCCACTGAAGAAACCCGATGATTTTAAATCTCGATTTTTCCGTTCGGTAAATATTTTCCCGAAAAATGATTTCGACATTCTCAATGTTATCAATGTTATAATGCTTGCCGCGATTGTTTCGACATATACAAATAAACGTCTACTTATACGAGAGAAATATCACATAGTGTACATAGCCGATTATATTTCTACTTCTAGTGATTACTTGCCAAGGAGCAGTGAGGTAACCGCTTTACTTGGAACAAGTAAACATTACTCGAACGGTAGCACACGTTTTCGGTAGTGATAGAACTGCATTAATAGGCAATTAAGTACGAGATAAGACGGCCGAGAAATCGACGATATCACGCCCGTTGTAAAATCCATCGCCGGGTCGAGCTCTATATTCTGCCGCGGTAATCAGTGCGTGTACCATTAAACGTTTATACGATAATGCGAATAAACGGGTGCGAATGCGATGTCTTCGTACAACACGCATCGGCTCGCGTTACAATGTGCCAATTGAAGCCAATCCACACCGTCCACCGAGATCCAAAAAAAACACGCGATCGTCGCCAAGAGCCCGGCGGCGCCGAAAACTTCCATCGATCCTTCCTCGAGAATCGTGGCCGATGAGAACAACGTCGGGAACGCGTTTTGGGAACAGGCAGGAGCGAAGTCGCCCCTGGACATAAAGGGAAATAAAGAAGCGAGGAGCGTGGCATTAGAGAGCTTCCCCGTGAGGAGAAACATCTGCTCCGAGACGACTGCCTACGACTCGCGTGCCACGATGAGCGCGTGCTATCGGGGCGTCTCCTCCGCCCCGTGCGGCCTCGCAGAACAGCTCGCGCCTGCCTGTCCGCCTGTCTGCCGTGCCGGTGCTGCTCCGACGTGCACCTGGCTCCGACTTTTTTCTCCGGGGAGAGGGTGTACTTTGGGCGGCCAAACACACGGTTTCTTCCTTTTCCCCTTTTCGCTTCGACAGCCTATCGGCGCGTTATCCACGCTCTCGCTTTGACACGAGAGACTCGTGTCTCTCGGAGAGATGTAGATAAGTCGGCTGCACTTGACGCGATAAAAGGCACTTTCGAGCTGTTCTTTTTTCGGAGGAAGGCGTCCCTGCAGAATCGCGAGCTTTCTTATAGGATTATGTCATCGATGAGAGAGAGATATTGCGGGATTCAATAGAAGACACTGCGTAGACCAATAGGAAAACAAACGGGAGGAAAATGCCGTTAGTATAAATCTTCCTCGCGAGAATGTACCTAGTAAAATAAGCGTAGCGTATATCGGTGATATTATTATTCGACGATATCACCTGTCTGGTGTTTTCACGATAGTCGTTTCCATCGATTAGAATTATCTCGTGTTATTGTACGGTATCCGTACAATCCGGTAATATAATATAATAATAGTCCGGTATCCGGTAATACGTTTCTCGTATCCGCGATAAATCAACTTATGTTCTCAGAAGTGTCGTCGCGCGAGTCAATGCCGAAGTATCGATGCGTCGTCGCACACGGAGATACACAATTAACGCGTACGCGTTATCGGGACCGTGCATCGCGCGTGACGATGACGATATATCGCGCTCAGTCGGATTTCACCGTTGAAAGCAACGGATACGTAGCGTCTCGTTAACTCCTTAGCACGTAACCCAATATATATCTCCAAAGTAGAATGCAAATGCTGCCTGTCCTCGCGAGCAAGCGGGGCCAGGGACGGAGGGGGAGGGGGAGGATTGAATTACCGCGTTGCAATAGCTCACATTCATTATCATTGGCCTAAATGCACACAATGTAAACTCATTCGCATACTGCGAATTCCCCGGGCGAGCGACAAATTAGTCGGTATATCGTTTACGCGAGGGACCGCGTCGTCTGCGTGCCGTCCCGGCGAAAATGTTTTCCTTTCCGAATCAATCGACCGCGAGAAGCGGGCTGGCCGTCGGAGAGCGCGCATAAGTGACGACAGTTCGATAAAAGCGCTGACACACGCGATCAATTACGATGTGGAAATCGACTGACAGCTCGTTTCCACGAGGACTCTCGAAGGTGTATTTAAGGACGTTTCTCTCTCTCTTTCTCTCTGTTCTACTTCTTCGACGCCTCGCATGATGCAGATGCGTGTGAGTTTCGCGCGAGAGTGCCATTGCTCCTGTCTATTACGTCTGCCAACGTCGCTTATTCACGAGACGCGTTACGGTATCGAAGTGATACTAACGAACTTTACGACGCGATGGACTCGTGCAAAAATCGCCTCGACAGATTCTTAACTGGGCTCGTATGTATGATTGCGGCCTCGCGACGAAAGGCACACTTTCGGGATGCAGCGGAGCATTTTGTTGATGCGCAAGAACCTTGCGTATAATACGTTTAATACACATATGGCGGCTTCGACGTTGCGGGAGCGATTCTCATGCCATAAATTGAGAAGTACTTATGCACAGATGTGCAAAAATTGGGACATGGGGTAAAAATGAAAAGTGAAACGCGGGAGACTTATGCGTAACACGGAATATATATTGTGGTAAAAATTAATGCAAAATTTTATAATGCTGGACCATACCGGAATTATGACTGAAATTATCATGTTGTAATTTTTAGTGATCTGTACACTAAAGATAGGATTTGGTAATAAGCACTAAAATTTGGTTAATATACGCCGGCTAAATATTTCATTGCTGTAACCAAATAATTCAGTTCCACACACTGTATACATAGCACTGTAGCTCCGCAGTAAGTTTATTTAATATACGGAACTATAAATTACTTGGTTGCAGTGATCAAACTTGGTCGGCATATATCAACTAAATTTTAGTATTTATTAAATTTTTATATAATGAAACACATCACTAAAATGTACAATATGTATCATAATTTTAATTATAATTCCGGTGTAGTACAGCGTCGCGCAACATTTTGATGGTAATTCCCACTACGATATTTTGTCCGTGCAGATCGAGCGGATACGTCCGTCACGTAGATGAAAATCGGAAGAGGGGGAGATTTCCGCGATTCGGCCGTTCCGCCCTTCTAGCATCGCGGAGTGCGGCTACAATGAAAGTTTAACGGTACATCGTTAAAAGTTGTACGTGCGATCGCAGTCGAGTGGCTTTCAGCAGTAGTAGCACGTAACATTTCTGATATCGGCGAAGAAGTCATGGTCGGTAAGTGTGCTAACGTGTACCGTACGGAAAGCCATGTACGCGGTGTCTCGAATTCATTACGGAAATTATTAAAGCGCGCTCCATTATCGTAGGTTGCCGGCGCGGCGGAGGAAACCTGGCGCGCGCCGTGGACTAATTATCATCGAGCAATTAACAACCGTTGATTGCCATTACCGGCGTGGGTGCGCGCTTGCGCGAGCATCGAGCGATCCTTCCACCTGAAATAATTTTGCTCTCTACCGGCCGTAGAGTGGTAAGCGCAGGCGCGCGCGTGTGTGTGTGTGTATGTTGGAGAGGAAGAGGCGAGATGATGCCGCTTTAGAGAGATTACGCTTCCTCTCCGCTATGATAATTACATTCGCGCGAATCTCCCCGAGATAGCGACGATAGGATGTTACTGCCGCCGCTGCAGTTTCCTTTTCGTCGATAGAATTCAGGAGACCCTGTTTGCACTTTCCCGGAATTGATACGTTTAATTCGAAAATTGAGAAATATTGCAGGACCGAAAAAAGATACAAGAGCGTTGGGAAATTTATATTAAAAAAAAAGGGGTGGGGGAGGGGAGTCAAGGAAGTCGGAGGAACGTGTATCAATGCGTTCGATGTGTCAGATTAAAGAGTTTCTCGTACAGAAATTTTCCCATTAAATGAACATATTTACATTGTCAACATATTACTTTTTAACATATTCACCTTGTTAAAATAACACAAAATTTCAGTGGGTCGTTTTTAACATAAAATCTTTTATTGTGTAAAATGGAAAGCAGCAGAAAAAAATATTTGAAAAATGCTAGGAATGACCGAATAGAATCTGTTTACTACTTGGAATCGCATGCTTGAAATATTATATAAATAGGAGTTATATAAGTATTCTTCAACTAGAACTTATAATTATTTTGAGAAATCGGACTGGGTGCCGGTCAGATCCCAAGAAATTTCTTACGCGAGTAACTGTCAAGTTTTACGTCCGAGATTGATGTGGTGTAAAGAAGCCTGTGGGAAATTTCGCAACACGTAATCTCCATATTTTCTCTTTCAATGTAAATTTGGCGATTTCGGAACAAGCTTTTGGATCATACACACGGCGTTGTGGTCGGTAACGTATAGAAAAGAAAAAAATTCTAGAAAATTCTTCAAACATCCTAAAATAACACGTTACGCTTCATTCACATAAAACCAGTGAATTCACGTGTCGATTTGACACGTCCGTTAGCGGTTGATGAGATAGAAATAAAAAATATGTACCGATTGATGAAGGACGTCGGCGTGGAGTAACCCAACTGAAGACGCGACCTGACGACCTTCTCTTGAACGGTCACCATCCTCGAGCTTCGCGAACTTTGGTGCACCCTAGTGGTTCGTATCACTTGATAGCAGTGGTGTTGAGTCTGAGGTGAGCAGACCGTCACCCGGTCACTGCGTGGCTCGATCATCATGTACACGATCATCACTGTTCATCACCACCGAGAAGTGTTCACCCACCGTTCGCGCGAGTCGCGCTTTGCTTCGGCGGCGAGCTCATCGTCGCGTCCTTCGCAGCTCACGAATTTTTCAGCCCGCGAATAGCTCACCACCACAGCATTCTTTGGTTAATCGGCGATGCCGAAGGAATCACGTTACGGTAGATACGTTTAGTACCCAACGGACCTAAGTTCGATTAAAACGAGGAAATTCATCACACACCTGTACCGGTGAGTCGTGCTAACCGCAAACTACGAAGACTTTACGACGATTCTGAATATTGCAACGCAATATTTCCGTTCGGCCGATGAGTCGCAATTTATTGAAGCGACACGTTGGAAAAGCCGTGTAGCCGTGTTTATAGTTGAGATTGATCTCATTACCGCGCTCGTGAATAAGTTGTAAACGCTCGCTGTGAATTTTGCATATCGCGCAAATGGAATGAAATCCGCAAAAAAGGATTCATCAAATTATCGTGCACGGCACGAGAGGGAGGATTCAGGTCAGCGATTTAATAATTCGTCGTCGTAGCATCGAATCGATCCTCATTAATATAATAATTCGCGAAATCTATATTTGGTTCCTCAGGTACGGAGAGACGGCTGTAATTTCACCTAGATTTCAGCTCCAAAGTTTGATACTAAGTAATCGGGTTAGCCATTACCGAGCTACTCTCGGTCCGGCGATCAATAGTGTCGTATTTTCACTCGCCCGCCTTTTCCGGTTGATTCATGGGTAATCGTTAAAACTTTCTAACGCGACGCTTAATTAATATGCGCAACCGGCAAGTGTATCACGGTGCGGTACCTATGTGCGATATATCCATCGTTGTCAATGATCTCTCTCGAACGAAAGTATCACGCTCGTGTGTGCCGCATGTACGTGCGACGCATGAGCGGGTTTCAAACATACGGACGTACGTGTATTATTCCGTGACTAGAGATGTAGTGATACCATGTATCGATGCCAGTATTGAAACGGGTATCTAATCAAAAGTATCAATATCATTAGTGATATCAGTATGAGAACAAAAATATCGATACCAATATTTGAAAAAATATCTTTGAAACTTGAAAGCAAAAGAAACTTAAAATTAGAGGGAATATAAAAATCGGAAAAGTGTCTTGTAAGCTACTTTTCAGGGATTCGTACGTCTACGCATGATAATAATAATGTTATTTTATATAGTAATTTTACTATAAAGATATTTCTACCTTCTGCGTTAGACTTTCTACGGTTTGTAATCTAAAACCTTAAAAAAGATGTGTTAAGATCCCTGTGTCCTTGCTATGACTGTTTCTATTTGGTGACGTCAGAAGCGAGAAATCGCACACTAAAAATTATTGCGGTATACGTGGAAATAAAATATGCGCACAAAATGACACTCGTGATCGATTCCGCGCACTTGTGAAAATATCCGGACGCTTTCCTTTTACTTCAGCAATCAATAAATAACCGTAAAATGAATGTAGCGGAAATAATGAGAAAAGATAGATTTAAAACGTAAGTTGCATGTTACATTAATTTTCATGAAGCAAAAATATATGATATCTTAAAGATCGACTGAGTAAAAAATTAAAGAAAAAGATACCGAAAAGATATTGAAATAAAATAGTACTGATATGGATACGAATATCGAAGGAAGATATACGGAGATAATATTGTTGTAAAAATTACTACAAAAGTTTGTAATGACGGGATGTACCGGAATTATTATCGAAATTACTATGCGTATTGTAATCTTTAGTGACGTATACCATGTGTACATATCGCTAAAAATTACAATACACATAATAATTTCGAATATATTCCGGCATCGCGGACTTTTTAAAATAATTTTTATTATAGTATTTTCTCCGTGTATCGATACGAAAATACCCGGTATTGAGAGAAAAAAATATCGATATCAGTAATTATATCAGTAGTGTCACACACATCCCTGACCGCGACACACGAGCTTGTTGAATTACCACTGACACACGCGCGTTCGCCATCATATTTAATAATAGAGCGACACACATCGGGAGGGCGAGATACCTCGGAAATAGAAAAGGCACTTGAAATATGGGATCTAATATCGTTTCCGTGAAATCGCGCTTGTGAGAACGGAATTTACGAACAATCGTCGCGCCGTCGATAATCATGAATCATACGACTTCGCACGGCACGAGGAACAATTTCCAAAATCGGCGCCGGAATGCAGCTGAATCGGCACTTGGGACCGAAATTAACGCGCAATTAGTTTACGGTCGGCGGGCGGTAACGCGCGCGCATAATCGGCGGATACCGTTTGCTCGTCTTCGGGCCGCGTCGTATCGGGGACGCACGTACGAAAAAGTCAAAGACGGCGAATAATAATGAGCGCAGAGATCCTTCGCGGCCGCCCGTCAAGCGTCCTCTTAATGGAAATGTTCTGCCGAAACTTCGCGCACGTTGTACAACTCGTTAGCGCGATCCGCATTGTTTTCTCCGACGAAAATTCGTCCCATCCCGTCACGCCACGTCTCGTCCAAGTTTGCCGGCGAAACTCGCTTTAAAGGAGCGCGCGTTATTAAATCAATCCCCGAAAGACAAACGCGCGAGAGGGACGTTGGACGCATTTATTCATCTCGTCCGGGGAAGCTTAAACGCGAGAGAGTCCACCCATCGGATTAACTCGCGAATCCGCCTGGCGCTCAGGTGCCACGTCCCGCCGTCGAGAGAGATCGATGACACGAGAACTGCACTTTTCACGTACGACACACGATTTTAATCACACAATCAAGACAAAAGCACCGCCGCCACGACGGACGTACGTACAATAGCCGCTCATTTTCCACGCGTGTGGGCGGCGGTTCCTCGAATCGTCGGCGCGAGAAATAAAAGACACTTCATAAAAAAAAAAGAGAGAAAAAAAGAAAAAGGGAGAGAGAATACCTTGACGGACCGACGCACACGTTGATTCGCGATCGTCAACTACGCCCGTTCTGTTTGCCGTTAGCTTCGATACCATAATGGAACTGTCAAAGTCGAATGAAAGGTGGGGCGGCGCGGCCCTCCCACCGGCGATTTCAACGGCGCGCATACACATTGTTACGCTCGTCCCGATGCCGCCGCCGCCGCCGTTCGGAAATACAGGTCAATTCACGCCGGCCGTGCGATCGTCGTGCAGCCCCATGCGTGTACGTATTTCTGAATCTACGTTAAAACTTACGCAGCACGAGGTCGTTGCACCCGCGACGACGGATCCCACTTAACGCGCGAAAGAAGCCGGATCGATTTACAGCGGCGCCCGAACGATTCTCAATCAACGATCTTAGTCACGCGGCCGATCCGCGGCTGATCCCCGTAATCGGCTTAAGCTCCATGAGCCGGAAAATTCGACGTTTACCCAGGATTCGCGCAAAATTCCGCATGCACGATGCTGTGTGATACCGCACGGAAGAAAAATCAGTCTTAAATCGATATTCTTACACATATATAAGAATATTCAATGATCAAAGGATTTCTAGTTTTCGTTTCGATTGAATTTGTCGATCACCAGTGTCGTTTTGTTTTTTACGTATATTGTTTTACTCCCACGTATAATCCGCGGTGATTTTTAACACGCTATTTCTCGCTTCTGACGTCATCTAGCGAGGACAGTCATAGCAAGGACACAGGAGCCTTAACGCATCCTTTTTAAGATTTTTAGATGACAAATCGTCGAAAGTCTAGTGCAGAAGGGTAAAGGAATCTTTATATCATGGTAAGATTATTATGCATGGATCTATAAAACTCTTAAAAGCAGCTTGCAAGAAAAACATTTTTCCGATTTTTATATTTCCTCTAATATTTAAGTGCCGATGCCAATATATCGACGTTTTTATTTTGATATTGGTATCACTAATAACATCGACATTCCCGATTAGATCCGTCTCAATATTAATACCGATACTTTCACAACATCTCTACTCACGCGTCGCGGAGACTCAGAGGACGCCTCTGTAAAAAAAAAAAAAAAAAAAGCGTCTGAAGAACGTTCGAACGAATCGGAACGTCTCACGTGCCTTCTTTAAGATTTTGTCGCGCTCCAATTGTACTCTGCTCGACGAGATAATATGGAAATAAAAGTAAAAGAGAGCGCGAAAGGGAGAGAGAGAGAGAGAGAGAGGGAGGGGGGATGAGTGCATATAAAACATTGCGGAATAAAATGTGGAATGTCCGTTCGCGTTTTACTCGACGCGATATTAATTGGGAAACTTTGCGTATTTATACCTTCGACACGGATAGATATATCCCGCTTTGAATCGAGGCACCGCCGCCGGCTGAACCGTAAATAGAAAAATAATAGCGCGCCAGGGCAAACGGGCATATCTGCACCGCCTATATGTACTTTCACGTATGTTAATGTCGCGCGATAGGGATTTCGCGTCAATAGCGGCGACAGTTTCAACGAGTGCGCGCGTTCCAGTTTTAATTTTGCACACAGCCTCGCGCGCGCACATACGGGCTGTTGTTTTATTCCCTTTCTCTCTCTCTCTCTCTCTCGTTGAAAAATACAGCCTGTGTAACGTCCAGATAGGGGAATATTCACAGCAGCAGTAGCGGCGGCGCGCGAACGTATTTCTTTTCAAGGACCCTCCATCGGGACAACAGCTCGAGAGATTCCGCATGTACCCGCGCTGGGAACAACGTCGAATGATGCGCGAGAACATTTACATCGCGATTAAAAATATCGCCTCACTAACTGCACCGAGCAGCGCGAACTGTCAAACTCGGCCGCGTGGGAGCGATTAAAATTCTGCGGGCGGGACGCGCGTCGCATTTTCACTCCGTGTCCGCGATTTCGGGGACGGATTACGGCCTTTTTTCCTTTCTCGAAGGCAAATCGTCTCGACAAAACCACCACCGTCGTTCAACGGTCGGTCGATTTTTGCGTAACAATCCGTCACTCCCGGCGGTCGAATTACTAGCTCGCGAGACACCGACTTCACACGCCGCTCCGATTTCGTCTTCTCCTATCCGTTCTACCGCTTATTCCTCGGCAGCATCGTGCTGCGATCGTCGCTGCAGCGTGGGGCAGTACGTACGTGAGCGGACCGAGATCCTCAATTTGCCTGTGGCAAAAGTAAAAGTTAGCCGATCGGGAGAAAGCTCCCGTCGACGTAGACCTCTCGCGCGCCTAGACTCGCGGGCGACTGGCTTAGGTGCGCGAATCCGACGGTGGCAAAGGTTAAAAGTGATCTGCCGGCCGGGGAGCAAGTCGGCGGAAAAGAAGCGAGCGACGAGAGCGCGCGAAAGCGACAAAAAGGACGTCGCAGACTTTTTGCGAGGATCGCCGAGTTTCAAAAGTGGCACTCGTTAAAAACACCGGGTTACTAGGCGAAATGTACGGTTTTGCGGGCGCGTATTTGCTTAATTCCCAAGCTGGTCGTAGCGTCGGCGTTCAAGTTCACTTCGGCCGAACGTCACACTCTAATAAGAAGTTCACGTCGGCATACTATCGGGTACACACGTAGGATAATAAGTCGCGCGCACGCGAGTCATGAAAGCGCCCGCGACTCCTCTTTCTCGCATTCCTCTTATTATCTCCGCTTTTCTCGGTCTCTAATGACACGGTGATGGCAACCCCCCCTCTCCCCCCGCCCCTTTCCTGCCCGACCGATGTGCAATGAATAGTGAGAGACCCAATACCCGATATGTACATGGAAGCCACGAGCGGATTTCTATCTGACGTACAATGTGAAATTTGCTCGATGTAGGTGAACAAAACAGTTCCACCTGCTCGTGTACGAAAATATTCCGTATTTCCTCCGGTTTGAAAATTCTCGTTTGAATGCATCAATCTGCAACTCTCAAGTCTCGAGAGTTATCGGTAAAATGCATATATTTTTATCGGAAATTGCTTATATGTATACATGTAACGTGTATGTATATATATGAATGTATATATTACATATAATATTGCACACATAGAGAAAAAGGGTCTTCTTTAGATTTAGTATACATGTTTCTTTAAGTAGGTTTTATTTAATATGAACGACATAATTTAACGTCAAATATCAATTTGTTTAAATGAAAATGTTGTTTCTCTAACCATGTTCTAATTTATTATTTCATT